TACCTCAGTATCACTACATATCATTGCCATAGCTTATGTACTATATTGTTGCTTCGAAGCACGAATACCATATTATTGCTAGCACATAATTTATTAATTTCATTATAGCCAATACGTATGCCATGTTATCATCATTTTCATTTTATTGTCGACATCATGTTACTTGCTTCACTATAGCACTACTGATACATTGAGCTGTGCAAGCATATGATTTATTATAATGCATGACAGACCCTCTGCACATATCTTGGAGAAATGCGATATGTTACACCTTATGAGCATTTAAAGGGGCAAATGGACCCCAAATTTATTTGGTATATGTGCTGTGGATATATTGTATTGTATTACAGGATTGATTTAGTCCATATTACAAAGGAGATGTTGTCGAAATTTTGAAAAATTATACGCAGTATATCTTTCGAGGCAATTCGTAAGTCCTCGCTTATTCTGACACATTTTTTGAGGCAGTTCGTAAGTCCTCATTTATTGGAGCGACTCATATTTCTCGAGGCAATTCGTAAGTCCTCGCCTATTCGAAATCGATGCATATTTTCGAGGCAATTCGTAAGCCCTCGCTTATTGGAGCTACCTATCTTTCTAAGGCAATCTGTAAGACCTCGCCTACTTGAGAGTTTAGATTTCAAGTCCGACCCGCATATAAATAACACGACTCGGACTTGGGGGACTACTGTTACGCTTATGAATTATCACTCCATATTGGGCCACCTTATTGGACTCGAGCTAGGCCCATTAGTGTTGGGCCTCAAAGCCGAGGCTCTAAGAAGCCTAGCCGAGGTGCCACCGAGGCCATAAAAAGCCCAGCCGAAGTGCCTATCACTTTGCTCACTTTATACTGGGCTCGAACTTAGGCCCATTAACCCGCCTTAACCCATTTCACATCATTTCTCTATATATATGGATTCAATTCAAAAGTTAAGGTATGTTCTAAATACTCTAGCCAAATTCCCTATCTCTCTACTATTGTACTCTATATATCTATCTTCGTCCGGCCGTTGACTTGACCGTCGGAGTGCAAACGGTCGCCAGACCTTTTTCTCGTCCGACGACCTTTGCCTCTTGATGGGTGTTACATGTGTAGGTTTCGAGGGGACAAAGCTAGGGTGCCTGTTGGAGCCATTTTTGGAGGTCAACAGTGCTTATAGTTGTATGGTGGTGAGTTGTGAATTTGAGGTGGTTGTGGCATTTGGGGTGCTGGCGTGGAATAGGACGGTATGAAGAGCGATTGTGAACAATTATTTGGATAATTGTAAACAATAAATAATATGACATAAAACATGGGTAATTTGTAATTAAATAAATAATTAGTGACTTAAAAAATGTACAATACACAACTAAATTTATAATTCTAAACCACAATTTGTATATTCGTGACTTTGATTTTGTGCAATTTGTGACTACTGACTAATATATGACTATAACCATAAATTGTGAATTTTTGTGACCTTGACATATTTAATTAGTTAATAAGTCAAAAAAAAATTATTATCAAATGATCAGTTGTGACCGTCTAATTCTTGAAACTTTTTTACAAGTCTTTTATTTTTAAAAGTGCATATTTAAACATATGCAGTTATGTAATTTTCAATAATAGTTTAGGCGTGTTTTTAAAGTTTTTAACAGAAAAAAAAATAAAAAATCTGTACTAGGCCTAATCTAATCTATATTTTCTATTCACCGGACATCATTCGTTTCTGCAATTCGATTCTCCAACATGGCTGACCTCACTAATACCAAAAAAGATTGATAGAAGATCTTTTCTTACAAGAATGTCTAATTTCATGTATGTCAATTGTAATTTTGATAACTCTTGCAAAATGATCAAATTTGGTGTCAAATTGTCTATTACACCCATGATCTAAAATGATGCAATTTTTATTTTTATTTTTTATTTTTCAAATTGTCTACAATTTCAAGAACAAGTAGCTTCCATGATAACCTACATAAATGCTAGCTAATATTATTTAATGGATTCATTTACTTCCATTATCTATTAAGCCCCGATTCGATTCATTATAACCAAAGTTCTTCCTTACTAAAGTTTTTCCTTACTCTATAACCTCACTTTCTAAATAAATAAATAAACTATACAAAAGTATTTTTTTTAAATTTTAAGGCCACTAAACAGGGGCTAGGCATTGACCAATGATTTTAGGAAAAAATGAAGAAGATGAAGTAGAAATGTCATTAACACTAAAAAATAACTATATACTTCCAATCATAAGAAATTATATAATTTCATTTCTAGAAATTTAATCTCATTTAAATTTATATATTGATTAGGTTCTTCATAATTCTCGATAGAAGGTAATTTTTCTTTGAATCTTTTTTTGTTGATAAGCTGTGTTTAATAATTAATATTCTCAACATTTCATGGTTTTCTCAATATTTTAAAAGTTGTTATCAACATTTGGATCATGTTTATCTCGACACTTGACGCTTTATTTGTTTAGAACGAGATTTCATTCCGAAAATGAGAGCTCTCTCTATTCATAGAGTTCTTGACATTTTAAGTGTAGTTTTTACATTTCATAAATCTTTTATTTGCCTACTTATAAAAAGAAGTGAGCATTTATTGTATGATTGATATAGTACTTTTTAAAATAAGTAGTATCGGTTATTGTCAAATTATTATTAGCCAATATAATTTTTAATTCTATGAATGATTTTGCCTTGTGGAATTTAAAATTGCTATTGAGGGCATTTTGGTCTAAACAATAGTAAAATGGACATTCAACAAATTCTAAATAAAAGTAGACGTAAAATTATATTACCACTATAAAATTTAATTACTACACCACATTAAATTCACACCACAATTAAAATATAATTTCAATAAATACACCACAATAAATTTACAATTATACTCCTAACACAATAAAAATGAAAAATGAAAAAAAATGTGGTGTACATATTATCCCATTATTAATAATCTTTCTTCTCTAACCCTTTCTAGTACATATTATCCCATTATTAATCATCTTTCTTCTCCAACCCTTTCTACCCTATTTGGTTAGAACTTAGGACTTTTGATTCAGCATCAGATCGGGATCTTTCATTTCGAAAATGTCAATTCTCATCGAAATCAGAGATGCTCACTAAACAGCAAAAATCAGATCATCACTCTGAAGAATCCAGAAGGTCTGAGATTGTGATAAAATCATCAATCCCAATTTTTGGAAGCTTTTGTTAAAATGTGGAGAGACAAATTACTAGTACACACACTTTTTATCTCATCATAAAAAAATGCACAAAATGGTAAATTTATGTGATAGCAAATGCGATAAAGTGAACATAGATCATTTGGATTAGATCTTTGTACTTTTGTCTCTGCAAGACTTTATTCTCAATGCAATTTGTCATTAATAATTTTTTTTTAATCAATTGCTTGAACAAGTGTAAGAAATCAAAAATTGATCGAAACTTTGGAGATTAAACAAATTGATAGATGTGTATGAATGAGGCAGAAAACACTGCAAATGTAGAAGAAAGGATTATGTTTATTTTTATGTTTGTGATGGAATAATAATTTATTTTATTAAAAAAGTATATTAAAACTCTAATTATGTAATTTTATTTAAGGTTATTTAAGTAAATAAAAAAAAATGTGGTGCACTTAATAAATTTAGTATAGTCTTTAGGGGTATTTTTAAGAATGTCCAATTTTAAGGGTATAAGTTGAAAATTGTCCACTCATTTGAATTTAGTGCCAACTTTTTCATTATGCTCTTAATGAAAAGTTACATTTTGAAATGATATTCTCAATATTTTAAATGCCGTTCTCGACATTTGATTTTTTTATCAATTTGTCACAAATTTTGAGAAGTGGCTTCCATGAGAAGTTATATTAAAATAATGTTTCTTGACATTTCATATCTCATTCTCGACATTTGAACACCGTTTTATTTGTCTAAAATGACATTTTATTTTGAACATGACATTTTTCTACATTTAAAAATGTTGTTCTCGACATTTCTGAATCAATGAAAAACATAGTATTTATTGTGATTTAACATGTATAGTTTTTGAAATAAATATGGTAAGTAATATGCCAACTTTTTCATTATGCTCTTAATGAAAAGTTACATTTTGAAATGATATTCTCAATATTTTAAATGCCGTTCTCGACATTTGATTTTTTTATCAATTTGTCACAAATTTTGAGAAGTGGCTTCCATGAGAAGTTATATTAAAATAATGTTTCTTGACATTTCATATCTCATTCTCGACATTTGAACACCGTTTTATTTGTCTAAAATGACATTTTATTTTGAACATGACATTTTTCTACATTTAAAAATGTTGTTCTCGACATTTCTGAATCAATGAAAAACATAGTATTTATTGTGATTTAACATGTATAGTTTTTGAAATAAATATGGTAAGTAATATGCCAACTTTTTCATTATGCTCTTAATGAAAAGTTACATTTTGAAATGATATTCTCAATATTTTAAATGCCGTTCTCGACATTTGATTTTTTTATCAATTTGTCACAAATTTTGAGAAGTGGCTTCCATGAGAAGTTATATTAAAATAATGTTTCTTGACATTTCATATCTCATTCTCGACATTTGAACACCGTTTCATTTGTCTAGAATGACATTTTATTTTGAACATGACATTTTTCTACATTTAAAAATGTTGTTCTCGACATTTCTGAATCAATGAAAAACATAATATTTATTGTGATTTAACATGTATAGTTTTTGAAATAAATATGGTAAGTAATACGTCAAAATTTTATTAGTCAATAACAATATTGTAAAAATGTTCATTTTTTTTGTCTTAGTGTGAAATTATAAATTGTTAATAAGGGTATTTTGGTTTAAATTCTTTCAAATTAGATATTTTTGTAATGGTGGACATTTTTGTAAGTGACTAGATAAAAATGGACATTTTGTGAAATTTACTCTTTAGTATAATTACCCTAAAAGTAGACATTTGTAGCAATTTCCTTAATTTTTTTTTTATTTTTTTTTTTTACTGTGATTTCAATCTGTGTTTTTGAGATCTAAACAATTCACATTTGCTCTGAATTCCCTTCTACTGTCCAAAAATGGGAGTAGTAATTGAAACCGAAATATGGGAACCAAACAAGGGACTGTACAATTTCATGTTCATATGTTGCTTCCTTTCAATCTTATGTTTACCCAACAAAACCATCCCAAATGTGTTTGATCACGCGTCTTCCTCTTCTCTCCTTCGCTTCCAACGAACCTTTCTTCTCTTCTATTCACTATCCTCAGGTCAATCATTCTTCTTCTATTTTAGGTTAATTATTGTCTTAAATATCGTTAAACTTTCTGGGTTTTCTTTTTTATTATTCTGTGTATGCAGTGATTGATGGACTATGGGCAGTGTTTGGGGAGTACGAATGGGCATATTATGGTGTGAGCAAAGAGCAAATGGTGATGTCGTTATGTGTTGGATATGGGGTCTCTCTATTAATCGGCAGTTTTCTTGGAATGCTTTCTGATCTTATGTAAGTGAACGACTTCCATAGTTTTTTGTTATCACGCCTCCAGTTAAATTTCCAATTATATCCTGCACTTGTTCTTCTTACGCATTGCTGCTTTCATTGCTCAGTTAAGTTCATGATTGATCTTGCAAGCATTAATGGGCAAACTTAGTACTGGTTTTCGTACTTGAGCACGTTACTGTTATGAATTTGCGGTTTGAGTTATCTTCAAGTGCTAGTTTTATGTTTTGACAACACTCTTTTAGATGGAAATTTAATAATTTTTCCTTGGGTGTGCAGTGGTCATAAGAAATTATGTTTGTTGTTTTACCTGCTGCACCTTTTTGTTGGAATATGGAAGAGAATTACTGCAGAACCAGCATTTTGGTTGGCGAGCATCTGTCTCTCTCTGGCCTCTTCAATATTTTCCTTCAGTTTCGAAACATGGATGGTAGTTGAGAATGATAAGGTCGGTCTTATATATCTATCGGCAGCATAGCTAATGGCAGTGGAATCCGTTGAGCAATAACAACATTTGTTTTTATTTATCTTTGCAGCTGAGCCTGAGGCATGATGCACTGAATAATATGTTTTGGCTAATGACTTTCTTTGAATCTGCATCTTTCATAGGCAGCCAGGTGCTTGGTAATTGGCTGATTGATAGTAATGTGAACAAAAATATAGCTTCTATTTGCAATGCAGCTATTGTTATAACAGTTGCCGCAATCACTTATGTCACACGTGGATGGAAAGAAGCTTCACAAGTAGCATCTTTCAAGGATTACCAGATTTTGTTTTACAGAAATGTCATCAGTGGTATGCATCTTGCAACCATTTGAATTATATGACATATTGTCATTTTACTGTGTGTTGTGAATTTGGTCAAATTATTAAGCAGACATGAGATGAAAACGGTACAAGATTTGAATTTCTTTTATTGGATGATAAAGTCGGTGGCGACATCTTTAGACAAATAATAATATGTGTTATTTCAGAGAAAAAGATATGGTTGTTATCATGGGTGCAAGCCTGTGTCCATTTCTCTGCAGTTGCCTTCTGGATTCTTTGGGCTCCTACTATAGTGGTAAGATTTCGATTGTATTTGAATTCCTTGATATTTTCCCCCTCAGCATATATTAAAAGTTCTCATAAAAGTCATATTAGTTGTTTCTGCTGAATTTTTGCGCTATCCATGTTCTGTTTTTCCTCTGCTTTTGAACATGAATAAGTGTTGGTTTATTAAAAAGATCTTGAAAACAGAAGACAATGTTCTATTTTTTTATTTTTTATTTATTAATTATAGACCTTATAGATATGATAATGCTTATTTAACATTCTAGTTGTAAAATAACTAACCATTTAATGCAGTACTTCAAAAGTTTCAGTGACTATTGGATTTTCATAGTAAAGCTCTTCATATTCTTATTATCTTATATACTGTAGGATCTAAATGAAGTCATGTCTAATTTTAGCCTTGTCCTTGGTCTGAATTAAGGTACATCTGCATCATAATGGACTAATACTATTATTTTCATAAAATGTGTTTCAAGGGTTAGAAGCTGACACTAACACCATTTTTCTGTCATTCTGAAAAAGCTGACACTGACACCAAATTTCTGTCATTCTGAGATGTCTCAGCATGTTTCTCCATATTTGACATTTTAAACACGATCACCAATCTAATCCAAGAAGCACTTTGATGAATTTGGATGCGTATTTTCACACAATGATCTCCTATAGCTATTTCAGTATCACTGGGGCCAAGATGGTTAAAGAATACCCATTGGAGCGCTGTATTTAGAATGGGTTAATCACAGCCTTTTATTTGATGTTTAGCCCCCAAGGCACATCTCCAAGTGGTAAAAGGGGAAGGTGGAGAAATCCAGCTTTGCTTGAAGCTGCCGCGTCAAGGGTTCGAATCCTGAAATATGGATTTGGCTCTTGGATAAGTGCAAGTGTACAAGCAGCCTTCCACCTGTACCCTTGGAGGCAAACCTGCGATTTACCTCTCTCACGATTCTCCAGGGCAGGGGCGGTGGGGGACCCTTAAGGTTGGGGTTCAACCTTTTTTTTTTATTTGCTTTATACTTGTCAAGTTGTATGTAACAGTTTGCTGAGACCATGTGTAATCTTTATGCTTCTGCTTAGATCCCTCTCAATTAAATTTGGACAGATTTGAAAAGGAAAATAAACAGAAAACAAATAAGATGAGGACCGAACATATTATATGCTAACACTTTGTGGTCAATTATATAAATATTGCTTGGAATACGCCTCAATATCTACCAGTAGTGATTTAATTTAATAATTTGTGCTCACTAATGTATTATGAACTAGTAATTATCAGTCTTTCATAACACAGAGTGATTTAGTCTGTAAATTGCCTAGGATTTTCTTTTAATTATGGTTAATCTTTAAATAAACACGTTATGATTTGTTCTAATCTTTAAATAAATTTGTTCTGATTTGTGCTTTCTATCATTTGTTCTTTTCTTTCTTCTTGTGTGGTTGTTCTATTTTGTGTTGCCAGCATTCCTTTCTGGTTTTATGAATTGAACGCTATCTGCTGCAAAGTTTAACTAGATTATCAATAGTATTCTGATTTGATCTGAAAATCTTTCGTATTTATTTATTTATTTATTATTATTATTTTTTTAAATTAGTGATATGTGAAAGAATTTGTTTGATCATGTCTTGGTTGTAGGCTGATGGGAGAGATGTATCATTGGGATTGATATATCCTTGTTTCCTGGGCGCTAGGATGCTTGGCAGCACTGGATTTCCATGGTTGTTCAATGGACCCTTGTCGATTCGAATGGAAGAATGCTTAGTATATTTGCTTATCATGATGGGCCTTGTTTTCTCTATAGTTGCTTATGATTATCAGGTTCACACTTTTAGGTCATTGATCACTAGAAGAACATTCGGTGATCATTTTAATATAAAAATTCCTAGCTTGATGTTACTTGTTTTTTATTATGTTATTTTATGCACAGGAAATTGGAGTTCTCGTGATGCTGTTCATATTGTTTCATGCTTGCGTGGGCATGGTTTTGCCTTCACTTGCCAGATTGAGATCAATGTCAATTATTTGTAAATTTTTTCCTAAAAAATCCTTATACCTGGCTCTTATAAATATTCGGTGCCTTATGAGGGCACTACATCTTTCATTCATTTCGTGAGGACAAAACATCAATTGAGCTTTTTGATAGAGTGCAAGACGCCATTATGGACTGGAAACATAAATTGCCTCTTTCAAAATTCAGGAGTATTTTTGACATATGTTATCTTGCTGCTATGTGCATAGGTATGTGCCAAATGAAGTTCGTGGAGGAATGATGAGTCTATCTCTTGTTCCTGCAAATGCAATACTTCTGTTTCTTGTATTACAGGTGTGTGCTGCTGTAACCACGTCGTTTTAGGGTTGTAATTAATGAATTGTTTATATCTCTGTCTTCTACAACTTCCTCTTGATTGATTATGGGCTATTTAGGATCATTTTAGTATATCTTTTCTTGTGTTCCTCTATCTGTAAACTCCCTGATAGAAAATTCAACCAGGATGGATATCAGAAGATTGATTCATCCTTCAATTTTTATCTTCCAAAGGTGAAGTGAAGTTCTAGTCTAGTTTGAATCTGTTCGGCTGTAGTAGAGCTTAATGAGGTTTGTTGGATATGTTAGTTTGCAATTTTAGGATTTAGGCTAATGATTAACTACATTTCATGTTGCTGGAAAATGGCCAAATAACAAAATAATTGATTCAGAAACTCAATGATATAATAATCTAAGAACCTAAAATGTTAGGTGTGCACTTAGCAAATCTCCTTCAGATAAAAATCACCCTCTCACTTGTGATACAACACTATTTTCAAAATCATTACTGCTTCAATACTGACCTTGAGAGGCAACTGAAGTTTGAACATACTCTATACGACTTTAGTGACCATGAATACTTGGATGTTTGAAAATTATAGAAGCTTGATTTTCTAGTGAATGAAAGGAGAGATCAATTTCTGAATTGATTTGGCATGCCATTATTTGTAGGCCTTTAGGTGTCTCTTCTGAAATGATACACCTTTTTTCAGTGTTAAAATCACGCTACTCCTGATTAGACAAGATTTTCAGCTGCCCACAACTCTTCAATGTACACCTGCACATCGATAGGCAGTGTCCAATTATCGATTTCAGTCAGTGTATTTGGCTAGTCACATCCTTTTATTTGCGTCTTGTTAATACCATCGACCAATGCACATCTAAACCGTCCAATGCAACCTATATATATATATATATATATATTCACACACACACACACACACACACACACAAGTATCATTTCATATTTTATTTATTTTTAGATTTTCTAGTTTCTGATTAGATTTATATGTCCTAAATCGACGTAGGTTGCAATTGTGCTGATGTTGCAGGGAGGTTATTACAAGAGCATTTGGAACTCAACTATCATGGCATTTTCCACTCTTGGACTATTCTCTGCAGCTTATTGCATGCATATATTGAAAAAATGGGGAAAGCAACTCCATCAGAACAGGCGTAACTTGTGATTTGGAAATTCGCTCTATTAACCTCAAGGTGTGATGGATCGATCTCTGATTTGTCGAGTTGTCATTTTTGTGACTTCACAATCTCACCACGCATGTAAATTTGAAACCAAAGATGAGAAACTTGGGAATCATACACTTCTTACCAGAAACAAGGGAATCCAACAAGAGGATAATACAGGGTAAGTCTTCAATTTTACGTAATTCGTTTCAGTCAATTGCATCTGGCCAACAATAATGGGCAGCTGCTGTTCAGAAAGTGTAAGGAGGCATACAGAGTAGCAAATAATCCTCTGATTATGTCTATATTCTGGGTTTCGTTCATAACTATAAAATACCAAAGAGCAGGGTTTGCCAGCTTTGAAGCTACCCAGTTAAGAGAAATAATTTCCTGTTTTGTAGAACATTTAGCAGAGTGATCAAGTATTCAATGTCCTTAGGATTTGCTTATCTATGTGTCTTATTGGTGAATAGTTTCAATAGAATTGACTCTACTTTCAGCACCATAAATTTGTTTACCAGTACTTAAATTCAGCTGTCGTCGTTGATATACCCTTTTTGAAGATTTATTTGAAGATTGTTGTAATAAATTAGATGAAGTTTATAGTTCAGAAATGATAAAACTCCACGGATTCCATATTTAGCCACCCTTGGCCGGGCACTGGCCTAATCAAAACTGGACAGCTCCATGCCTTTACATTTCTACCATTGCTCGGGATCAATATTTTTGTGAAATTTCAAAGAAAAGAGGATTAAAGCTCCCTTTTCAGAAGTAAATAGCAAAAGGCTTAGAGAAGGGCTAGATTTTGCTAGTATTTCTATGCACTACATAAAACTTATTTGGAACTCTTCAAGAGAATGATTCGGAGTTCTTGCAGAGTAGAACCATGCAGTACCAGACACGAGATAAATCTTCCTAACTTTCCATAAAAATGGACGTCCAATCTAATTCGACCAGTTAACATAAACTTACTCTTCTTCCTGATCTTGATCCCTGATCCACTTTGTGGCTACCCATTTTTCCCCCTTGATCACTGGGCAGCTCCCATGAAGAGATGTCTACAGTAGTAGCAAAAGAAATGCGTTTTAAGGGTCGAAACTCAACACAACCATGGAGACAAACAGGAATTGATATAAATGTGAAGTAAAAGAAAAGATAGAAGCAAAACAGTGCAAGAACCACAATTACATTTATGCATAGCGACTCACCGGGTCAATAGTACCATTAGGGAATAGCGAGTAGAACAGAAGTCCATCTCCTTGGTGCGGCTTTACTTTCATACCCATACATTTACGAAAATCATAAGTAGCGTCCGTGTTTAGCCCGTTCTGTAGATCAAAGCATCGAGTGACTGCTGATTACAGTACTGAAGAGAGGAGGGAGCAATAGAAGGAAAAGGATGCTGGTAAATTACGAAATAACAAAAGAAAAATGATTGATCTTACCTCCAAAGGGAACATGGTTTCACCCCCTTCTTCGACCTCAGACAAATACAACAAGAAAGAAGCAACCTGAACAAATCAAATTATTAGACCTATTTAACAGTATGTGCATAAACTCTTGAACAAGAAACCTATTTCATTAACTAGCTTAGGAAGATCTCTCTGTGGGCAATCTTGAGCTGTTTTTATGTTGAGCTGGTGATTGTAGAAAGGGAAGAAGAATTAATGTAAAGAGACACAATTGTGGCGTAAATGATTGACATGAACACTTCATCCTGAGATCTGTCATCACCGGATTTCTGCCCCTTCTTGGGCCATCAGGCACTAAACCATTTCTCTTAGAAAAGATTGAATGAATGAATATCTAATATCTTTCTTGCATTACCCTTTGGCTCTTCTGTGGACCGTATTCAGCAGGATTGAAAGCATCATAATGAGAATGATATCTCTGACCGATCTCATAACGCAAGACATTGAAGGCCTGAAACATGGTACATGCATGATTCAGAGAACTTTTAAAGATTTAACTAATTCAAATTCACACAAGTGTATGAAGTGAAAAATTATGCATCTTCTTGGCAAACTAAACACATCCACATTATTCTTTATGAAAAAGCAAAAAGATACCATTTTATAAAAGGCGTACTTGGGTACAGAGAGAGAAAATAAATGATGTAGCTTAACTCACATTACCTCTCCATGGGATCTGGGGATCATTGTTGCTTTTGCAATTTTTGCCTCAATCTGATACAAGATTCCAGTTTTGTCTTCCGATGCACTTATAAACATGCCAGAACTGAGAGGAAAGAAAATCACAATTTGAAAGGTATCACACAGATAGTTTTATGCAAAATTCAATGCAGTAACAGAATTTTAAAAAGTAGAGTTTGTGCATAGAAATAATATATATGCTTCCTTAGAACCCACCATTTGACTCCAGTTGGAAAGAGTAATTACCTTGTCCTAATACCTTTGGTATTTTCAGCTGTTTCTCCCTCACGTAGTGCTAAGGAAGATGGTTCAAGGCGTGCCCTTGCAATTTCGATTATGCTTTTGCATTGTTCTGCACTAGCAAAATTTGGAAAGTATAATGCCCGTGGATTCCAGCTCAAAATCTGTATCAGAGAGAGCAATAAAGGAACAAGAATATGATTTCAAGAGCAAATACTTATAAACATCAGATTGTGTGGCTGATGTTTAGATTTATACACATTAACAACAACTGTGGTTTCAAATGTGTTTGTAGCTTATCATTGAAAAGTTCTATTCTTTTATCGAGTTCCATTTTTACAATAAACCGACAGCATTGGAAATCTATTAGTTGCTGTGGAGGGATTTATAAAATGCATTTGAAATGTGTTTGAAAAATCCATATGGATTAACCACCCTCAGTGTAGAGGATTCAAATTTCATTTCATCACTGAAGATTTGCACAGAAATTAGAATTAGAATTCAGATCAAAATTCACCTGAAAAGGGATCGAAGTGAGAGAATTCTCTCCAGTCTTTCCCCGTGGCAAAGCATCAAATTCTTTCTTCTTCGTCTTCTCTTCCTGCAGTCCCCGAGGCCAAGTCCTTAAAGAAGTACTCGACACTCCCTGTCACGCACATAATCAACATATTAGCCCACAAAGCCTAGCCACTCAAGTTGCTATCTTCACAAACGAGTTAGATTATTGCAGGGAGATAAAGATAGATGCATAATATAGAAATTGAAGGGACCTGCTGAGAGAAGAGACTAGAACCAAAGAACCCGGCAAGAAAAAAGAATATGCATAGCAAGAAAATGGATGGCAACCCTGAAATCATCCAATTTCCGCCCCCAAGTTTGCTTCCTTTGTTCTTCATTTTTTTTTTCCTTGATCAAAAACATCAATGGCGATTAGTCTTATTCTTTCACCAGCTAAACATAGTTTTCTTTCTTGTTCTTTCTTTTCCTTTTGTGTTTTCGAGTATTCATATTATGTTTCAACTTTCAAGTGCAGCAAGCAAATCGATCGTGACTTTTGTACGACTTGTCTTCCGTACATGGCGGGAAGTGATTTTTGTTTGTCGGGTAAAATAACGTAGAAGGTCCCCCAACTTACACTGAAATTTCATGTTAGCTATTCAACTTTCTTTTATTGTTTAAAACTTATCATATAAGTTTCAGTTTATTACCAGAACCAGTCTATTGGAAAATTTGAAGTCCTTTCTTGCGTTGTAGGAAGAATTGACAGTGGACTCCTCGGGTAGGTTGCTAAGTTGGTTGTACAACAATGCGAACTCACGCTTTTAATTTAGCATCATTCTATTGAATCCAATTTTTGACAAAATCACGTATTACGTAGATATGAAGTTTATATAAGTTAAAAGAGCTTAACATCACACAATTGAACAACTAAAGAGCTCCATTAGCAATACTATTGCTCCACTTAAGAAATTATGTGTTATGCAGAAAAAGAGATTAATTTTTTTATAGAATCAAAAATTGATAGACCTTTTATACCGAGCAAGCATATAACTTAGATGGATTCTAGAAAGCAACGTAAGAAAGTGTTTTTTTTTTTTTTTGTGGTGGAAATAGGAAAAGAAAAAAATTCACTATAATCAGGTTAAGATTAGATGAAATGAATCATGTCTATTCCTATCCTAGAACACCCCTGCAAAGGTAGTTGTATAGCTTGAATGATGAGTTTGGAACAAGAAAAGTTGAATGACTAAATGAAACTTTGTCGAAAGTTGAGTGACATCTAGTGTATTTACCCAATGTGATAAAAAAAAATACTGATTTTCGGGATTTTTTTTTATTGAGGATAGGCTGATAAATTAAGGCATTGTTTGATTCCCATTTTTTCAAAAAATATTTTTCTCTCTTGTCTTTTCAATAAAAATAATATTACACACAACTCAAAACTTTTCATTCTTTTTTAACCACACATTCTTCATCGAATCACTATTCAAAAATGTATTTTTTGAAAAAAAAAAAATTGGGCATCAAACAAGCTCTAACTGAATAATTTAATGATTTTGCCAATTTGTCCAAAAAATAAAATAAATAAATTTTTTTTTACAAATGCAGTGACATAATTCGACGTGACAGTAAATGAATTGATGAAAAAGCTAACTATATTTAAAATAATTTAATGATAAAGTGTCATGTGACGTTATACTGAGGATTATATAAAGATATCAAACACTGTAGCACGATTCATAATTTAAATAATAGTAGTCAGATGTTGATTATTGAAGATACATGTAGTGCACGTGGGGTGCAGATTTAACCCTTGAGATTACGAGAATCTGTACCTTCTGTATTATGATTGATAAGTCCAGGTGGAATCCATTGACAACCCATTCTCAATTCTTAAGCTCTTTACTTCGATTCTCCTGTCTTCATATCACTATCCTTTTTTAACTTTTGAGTCACGAGTATTTATGCCATGTGTACAATGCAAGCTTATGCAATTTGCTCGAGTTGTTCTTCGACTTTGGATTCTTGACCTAGGAACACTTGAGTAACTGTTACTCATCTGTATCGTTTGTTTTGATCATTCGACTTCTAAAATGTAAAAATTAGCACTCTTACGTCCCTTGTTCTAATCCTTCATCACGCTATAACTTGTGCAAATTGGGCTTGTCTATGTCCTTTGCTTTTTCTATTCTTCAACTCCTGAGTTGCAGAGGCTTATGCGAACCTTAATTCGGTTAACTTATTTCTTATTTTGTGTAGGATTCATTCTCCTTACATTTTTAAACACATTTATTTATTTTTTGTCCGTGGGTGTTAGAGTCAACTTACGAGACCTCTATTAATCTCACGGAGTCCTGAAATTTATAGTCGGGTACTCATTTCAGTGGCCCTGAAGGAACTCGAACTTTTGACCACATATTTATGCAAGGCCCATTGCTTATATATCATGGACTTATTTGCCAAATGGGCTCTTAAATAGTAACTCACAATCTTGTTAGTGCAATTCATACATTAGATAAAAATAAGCAGTTCTTCAAATTAAGAAACAATCTTCGACACCCAGCCACGGAGCAACAAGAAGATAACATCTTCCCAGACAATTAGACTTACAAATATGCTTTCATAATCGAATTCTTCCATCTTATACATTCCTCCCCGCTGTGAGCCGAAAGTAAATCAAAAATCAATAAGATTGTTATGCCAATATTCTCTTCCAGATCCTGACTCGTGATTGACTGTTTTGCAATATTCAAGGACAATAATAACATGTATTTGCCTTATAGTGATTAAGTGAAAACACTGATTCAGTAAGAATCAGAGGTCCAGATGGTACCTGATATTATTTCAATGGAGATTGCACATATTTCAGATGTGAAGTGAGATCAAAACTAATTTCTGTAATACCTGAATTAGTAGCTGAATCAGGAAGTTGATTCTTCCCATACAAGCCACCACCAGGAACAATGGAGGCCATACGAAAACCGGCCATCCTCATTTCGATTTGATATGGTGTAATGTAAACTTCAATATGAGGGTTCTTCTGATGATTAATGAACCAGGAATTGCTCCTTATGTAAAGCAAATGATAAAGATGGGATCTAAGCCATTGGAATGAGGAGAAGCCCACAAGACTATAGGCTTTACCCTTACACTATAGACTGCCTCCAGTGACAAGATGAGCTTGTGCTATACTTGCCCTTTCTTGTGCGCAATAACCTCCAATCGATAATCATCTTCTTTCCAACACTAAAGAAGATATTGTTCCTGTTGGGACCGATTGACCAATAATGTAAGAATTGAGATTTAATGAATTCCACTTGTTGTAATTGAAGTATTGAACAAGATCACAAATAATCCAAAAACAAGATTAAAGTAAGTAAAAGAAGAACTGACAGAAGGAACGATGTTTTATTAATTCACTATGAAAGGAGAGCACAATACAGCAAAAGGCTTCAATAAAACTGATAGAAGAGCCTTGCATTTATAATATAAAATTTAGTCCTAAAAGAGTCCCAAAAAAGGTAAGAAATCTAATGTAATTTAGACTCATATTTGAGTCACACTTCTAACAATCTCCACCTTGACTCAAATTTCGGTGCAACGAACGAAGCTCCAAAATTTCTCCACCTTAAAAAATAATCCGTCTGCATCAGAATAACCAAGCTCCTCAACCCAGTAACCAAACTCTCCACGAAAACATGTTCCTCCACCCAGCATCCACACGCGACACCCGAACCTAAACCTGGGCTCCCAAAATTCCTCCTGGAATTAACAATCACTGGATATGGTCGAAGCACATCCTGTAGCAGAAACCACACCAAATGTACAATCAGAAAGTCCCTTGCCAATATTGTCACCTTCAATGATTTCTAAAGCATTACAGACATCTCCAAAACTGTACCTACGCTCCATGAGTCCATTGGCATTACAAGAACACAGTATACTCGCTAAAACTGGTGGCAAAACGAAATCACCAACACTCCCTTGAGCAAAGTTCTTAACTGACCCAGAGCCAAACCCGAGAGGTATTGTACCAAATTGAATGTCCACCACGGTACTGAACTTGTCCAAATGCCTCTAAACTGGTTGTGCGCTCCCCTACAAGATGTACAACTGGGATTTCCTCCGTCCCTCCAGTACAACCCGGACACCCCTTCGAACTTTCAAGACTCCACCTCCACCAGAAAATTTGTACAATTTTTCATCCAAGGTACTCAGTGATATGAGATTTTTTGTCAAGTCTGGAACATGGCCAACCTGATCAAGTGTCCTCACTGTTCCATCCTGTAGCCTCAATCTGACCCGACCGATTCCTGCAACCCGCAAGATTGGTTGTTTCCCATGACAACTCCACCTTGTTTCACTGTCTCATATGTTTGAAACAAAGCTCTATTGGGACACATATGATACGAACAAGTAGAATCTAGAATCCACTCCTCAGGTTTGGATTCTCCGTCAGATACAGCCAACATCACATCTCCATCATCACAAAAATTTTCAACAATATTAGTCTCGTTCGAATTACCTGATTGCCCCGCATGCTTTGCATGTAAATCACATTTACCTTGCAACTTGTCGCAATCTTTCTTGATGTGTCCTTTCCTCTTGCAATAATAACAATACACATTGCTGTACTTTACCTTCGATCTACTCCTTCATCGATCACCATGAGTAACAAGAGCATCCCCACTCCTAGATGCAGGATCTCCAACCAATAACTCCATCTTCTCTTTTGAGAACAGGGCATCGCATATCTCCTCAATGGATAACATGTCACGATTATACAGAACAGTATCACGAAATGATAAAAAAGAATTGGGTAGCGAATACAACAGGACCAAGGCTAATCCTCTTCATCATATTTTACCTCCAACGTTTCGAAATCTGCAACGATCTCCTTGAACACAGCAAGGTGATCCTGCAGTGACCCTCATTCCGCCATGCGATGAGAATACAACCTCTGCTTTAGAGTCAGTTTGCTCGTCAAACTCTTTGTCATGCACAACTGCTCCAACTTGAGCCACAAAGCAGCCGCTGTCTTCTTCTTCAAAATATCTTGCAGCAAATTGTTGGATAAATGAAGATGGATTTGCGCTAAAACCTTCCACTCCTTCCGTTGTTTCTCCTCCATAGACAAGCTTGATGGCATCTTATCAAAACCCAGCAAAGCATCATCAAGATCCATTTGCGTCAACACAACTCTCACATTTACTTGCCACAGCGAAAATCTTGTATTGCGATCCAATAACGGAATTTCATACTTCAACGAATTCATCTCTAAAAAATCTCAGTCAAATCACGAAGAACTTGCAACTTGCAACACCAAAAACTGAAAACTACCGAACATGCAAAGGGCAAAATAGTCCAAAATCACAATTTTGCCGAAAATTGAAATTGGACACCACCACAAGATTCGTCTCGTCCTTCAGAGAAAATTGCCTGAAGACACCGTCTCCGGAAACTGCCGCACGCGCCGCCACTCTCT